GAGCTATAATCTAAACTCATAGTATCTCCCTTAAACCCAATAACCCCTGTAGTAGTCCCCTATATACTCCCCTAAATAACCCCCTTTAATGAGTTTAGACGAGAGCTCACGTGCGGCTGTTTTGGTCTCCGCCTGGCTGGCACACAACTAATGGCTGAATGGATTGAAGCAAGGCAGCGTAGTCCGACATCACCAGGAGTACTACTTGAGGAAGCAGGAGGACTTAGAAAGTATACCTATACACATGCCTGCAAACTCTAAAAGCCTGAGGGCAACCCCAGTTATAGTATACACATTCTCAAACTACTTACAATGTCCGCTCGACCTTGAAAGTATGGTATAGTTTTCAAAAGCCCGATGGGCTAATTCAGTGTTTATGTATCTTAGTATCAAGAGCAAGTGAACATCTGTTGATTAAAGTTCAGCTGCAAACTCAACCGAATTTGTGTTCAGCGAGGGCTGTCATCCCCAAAGCAAATTTTCTCCTGCTTTCGACCCTTGTCGCCCCTCACTTGAAACCTAAGTCTTGAGACCAAAGTCCCGAAAGATCAAACCCGGCAATTGCAAGTCAACCCTACGCCCTACACCTTAAACCCTACGCCCTTTGAATCCTAAACCCCAAACCCTAAATAGTAGTTTCCATTTCATTTCCATTATCCTTATATAGACCCCGATATAACCCCAATATAACTAATACACCTAAACCCTAAATAGTAGTTTCCATTTTCTTTTTCCATTATCCCTATATATCCCTATATCCCTAAACCCTAAACGTTTACATTGGACAGTAAACACTATGTACACCCTTTGAATCTGGCGGTTCCTTTTCTCCATCGAGGTCGCAGTTGCCTCGCGAGCGAAAAACCTTTTAAAGGTTGCGCTTCGAGGATCCAACAGCGCACCGCACCCCTACAGGGGTTCCCGATACCGAGGTTTCTCAAAATCAGGGGGGCCCCTTGGGGACCCTCGTGTTTACTGTCGAATATATGTGTTAGTTTGAGAAACTCCCATAATATACCAGTCATCATTCGAAAAGCTATTGAAAAGAGTCGCCTGAACAGTCCCTGACAGGTCTCTTTGTAAGTTCTGTACGCGGCAGCTACTTTGTAGCTGTAAGACTACAGACTGTAGTGTCTGAACATGGTGGCTGTTCTCATAGAGGGTCCTTCTGTCGCAATGGTTAACAGCGGGTTCTCTACAAAAGCTTACTAGCAATTTTTGTGGATCCATGAGGACTGTATAGGGGGTAGAGTAGGCTGTCAGGGCTGTCAGGTGTACAATAAGCGCTCAAACTCGGCACCAATCTCGGACTCCGCGGAAAAAGTTTGCTTTTGCATCTGCTTCTTGACCTCGAGGTTGAGAACTCGGCGGGTTTTTGGTTGATATTTGAGGGTGAATGGAGAACCAAATAGAAAAGAAAAAGGAAGGACATTGAACAGTTACTATAATTTGGGGCTCAGGCTTTGAGATTCAGTGATCAAACGCAGTGGGCCAAGCCACGATACTCTCCAAATAGTTCAAGACAATTGTATGGGCTACTCCCTGTCTGCCTGAACCATGCAACCCCCTGTAAGTCAAGCGGTTGGGAATCCACCAGTAAAACAACAAACAAGGGTCCCCACCTGCACACCGAAAAACACAACTCTTACTCAGGGAGCCCAAAAAGGACCCCTGATCTTGGGAGACCCGCAAATGCAAGTAAAACAATAGCCCCACGCCTCTAAAATAGCCCAAAGTGCCATCATTCTACATACTTTTGGGCCTCAGTTCCCAAATAGTTGAGCTTCAAAGGGTCCTTAGGTCCCAAAGTCAAAGTCCTACGTTGACGTACACCAAACACAAAATTCCACGTCGTCGAGTCTCAGGCGGGGACTCCGACATTGCAAATGTCTCAGTATGTCCCATGTGTTGGGCAGACCCTTGTGTTTGGAAACTCTCATGTCACAGCTCCAAGCCCAAAATTCTGACCCTTTAATGAAAAACCCTAAAACCTAAAGCCCTAAACCCTAAACCCTAAACCTTTTCTTCCCCGAGGTGCACTCCGAAGCCTCAACCCTGAACCCCAAAACACACTTGAAAACCTGATCTAACATAACTTGGGGTTAAGGGGCCTACGGTTTAGGGCTTGGGTCTTCGGGCTTCCTATTACCCATTCGAAAGCGTAATCCTTCATCTTTGACTAAACCTCCCAAAATACCTACAATGCTGGCCTTTGAGCCGCAGAGCAATGAGTAAACAGGCTGCCATTCTGCGCATCAGGGAGCCCCCCTAAAGCCTAAACCCTACACCCCAAACCCCTGAACCCCTAAACCCTCAAGCCTAAACCACCTAAACCCTAAGCCCTAAACCCTTAAACCCTTAATCCCTTAAACCCTTAACCTGGTACCCACCTCCTGCGCCCGCTTGGCAACAGCGGCCCTTTCAGCCGCCGGCACCTTCGGGGCATCCACGGCAGGCATCTAGAGCCCCTAACAGTCCAAGGACCCAAATAAGAGGGTCCCTTCAAAGGGGTTATAGGGGATATCTAGGGTTTAGGGTTTAAGGTCCAAGGACCCAAATAGTAGGGCTTTAGGCCCAAATACCATGAATATTACAGCATTTGGGCCCTAAAGCCCTATTATTTGGGTCCTTGGACCCTTAAGGGACTTCGTGGGGTTGAGGCGTCCGCGTATAGGGTTTATGAGATTTAGGGTCCATGTAGGGTTTGTGGGTTTTAGGAGTAGTCGGGGTTTGTAAGATTGAGGGCTCTTATAGAATTAGAACCCTGAATCCCGAATCCTTTTCACATAGTCAAGGGACACAGGATTTCGCAAGCAAAGGCTGTAGGACTGCGGTAACCATGAAGCCGAGACATTATGGCTGTAGCGAAATTTGAAAATCACCTGACACAGCATCTTTCGCTCTACGGTTAGGACATTTGAACCTCCCACGAGCTCATACATGGTTTTAATCCATTGTCTTCAAACTTGGACATCAAATACGCTCACGAGTATTCCGGAAATCTGTGTATGCTTCACCAAGAACCATCATACACATGCTGCTTCATATACCTCAAGCTTTAACGTGTCTGCGAAGAGGAATTGTATTCCTTCCTAATTCATCTAGGATTCAGTTGATGTTAAAAATGCTGCATGAACCAAACTACCTTACAGCTGGGTAGTTTTGGTGTTGCAGTATACCAAGGTCATGCAGGATTCGTGGCATCAACCGTATTTCCTCTACTAACCCGGACGATAACAGACATGATGCAAAGTAGACTTCTAGATCCTAAAACCTATCTGATCTGCTGACTGAAATCTTCTCAGAATACACCCTTAAGCCTGTAAACCCTAAAACCCTAAACCCCAATATACTAGCCCTAAGGGTCCAAATACCTAATAATCATATACTTATCCCAAACCTGTACTATAATTCCTATTACCCAAAACCCAAGTACCTAATTATTGGGTACTTGGACCCTTAGGGTATAGTAGTGTCCATCTTCTTGTCCATTGACCTTCTCAAGTTCCCGCCGGGGAATCCTTGGTGGGGACACCTAAGCCCTGATCCCTGAACACTAAGCCACTAACCCCATACATCCATACAACACCTTTACCAGGACCCTCCTTGTACCCTTAATTGGGGATATATGGTCCTTATTAGTAGGTACTTAGGCCCTAATAGAGGCTAGGAGGAGGGTCTAGGTATTTAAGGCTTAGGGTTTAGGTTTCCTCCATTCTGCAAAACACCCATGTCACCTCCCTCATCCTCGCAGCTACTGCAGCTCGAAGCCACTCGTCAACTGCCTGGAGGGCTTCGAGAATCTAACCAGGAGATACTCAAACGTTTGAAATATAGTTGTTTTCGTGAATCCAAATCAACTATAAAATTGTCAAGAACCTGTGCTCTCAAGGCTTCTGACGATAGGGTACCTAATCTAAGGGGATATGGGCATTGTAAGTGGATTGTGGGGCATCCCTACTACGAATTCTGTAGAGGTTGTTTTGAGAAACTCTCGCATATCAAAGTCACGGTAGCCTGTTGCGGTACTGTAGCGGTTCATGGATTTAGGTGCCGGCACGCGCGTTAATCTACATCGTCCATTACGACCTGCAGCTTTATACGTCATACTCTTAGAGCTGGTTGACACTACCCACGAAGCTCCAAAGAGTGCTGTTTCCCTGATTTGGCTCCCAACTGCCTATGGTGGCTAAGAGCAGAATGGCAACGATGCTAGGGTTCCCCTAAAGGTCCAAGGACCCAAATAATAGGGTTTTAGGGCCCAAATACCATTAATATTATAGTATTTGGGCCCTAAAACCCAATTATTTGGTCCTTGGACCCTTAAGGGACTTTATGGTTTCCAACCATACAACTTTTACATGGGTGGGGTGTAAGCGCATGTAGCTCTCCTCCTTGCCCAGGCACATGGACCTCGCACAAAGTGAAGCATGAGTTCGACCTCTATGTGGTAGTTAGCGTCCATAGTGGGGCCCCCCTATTTCAGGAAACTACCATGTCACAGCTAACGTTCTTAGAACCTGATTGCCATGTCACTTTCCATGTTCCTGTTCGTATGATTCTCCATTACCGTGGTTGGGGTACCCAAATCCTCTCATTAAAGCCTAAACCCTACACCGTAGTCCATAAACCCTAACCCTATAGGCCCTAACCCCAATCACCCTGAACACAAAATACTAAACTCCTAGACCCTCCTCCTAGCCTCTATCAGGGCCTAAGTACCTACTATTAGGGACCATATATCCCCAATTAAGGGTACAAGGAGGGTCCTGGCTGTTATCGATCCTAAACTCTAAGCCCGAAACCCCAAACCCTAAACCCTAAAACCTAAACCCTAAACCCTAAACCCTAAAACCTAAAACCTAAACCCGAAACCCCAAACCCTGGAAGGGAAGGCCCGCCTTTCCAGACAGAGGGCCGCTGTTGTCTGGTGCGACCTGCGGAGCGGCAGTTCAACCCCTAAGGGTCCAAGGACCCAAATAATAGGGTCCCTTTAAAGGGGTTATAGGGGGATATATAGTGTTTAGGGTTTAGGGTTTAGGGTTTAAGTGTCCAAGGACCCAAATAATAGGGTTTTAGGGCCCAAATACTATAATCTGAATGGTATCTGGGACCTAAAGCCCTAATATTTGGGTCCGTGGACCTTTGGGGATTTCAACAAGTGTTCCACCATGTAGCGTTTCGGGTTTAGGGTCGAGGGCTTGGGATTTAGGATTTGGCTTGGGGGTTTAGGGTTGAGGTTGGGATTCTTATACTAGGATTCAGCTATTGTTGGTTCTTAGAATATAGTAGTTGCGTACATTGAACCCCTTTAGGGTGGGCATTTGAAGTAGATAGGAGTGTATGCTGTGTCTGCTTAAGGAGGTTTCATCAAAAGGGACCCGCGAATGTTAGCAAGCCCTTCCACTCCAACATTTATCAAAAATGGCTCCCTCGTACACACTCAGCATCGTGCATTCCGTATCAGCAGGACCCACAGAAACGCTCGCCGTGGCAGCGGGAATATGGAACCAAGGAACTTTCTGCTCCACTGTCTTGGTGGGAGCCGCATCTGGTGAGCTGACCAGCATGGGCTTGCCGATCGCACTCGCATTCTCTGTGGGTCCTGTGGGGAGCTTTGTCAGGGGTTCATAGGACTAGCAAGGGTTCTGGAGTAGCTCACAGACGCTCCACGTGAAGAGCATCAAGGCCACTCTATACATTTTCTCGAAACTGAATGGGTTTAGTGTCCCAGTGATAAACAGGGGACCTAGAAAATGCACATGTAACAAGCTCGTCAATCAACAAACAAAAACACATTGCTTCTCATTTTCTGAGCGTCATGCTCCTGCATGGCAGTTTAATAACTGGCCGGACCTCAATGGAGACCCCAATACAAATCCCAATAAACTAGCATTAGAGGGACTAACAGAAAAACAGCGGATCTGTAAAGTTCTGCTAGTTCCTCCCAAGCGCCTGAAGCCGACTTTGCAAATCTACCTTAGACTCTAAAGCTTCATATCCCCCAAAAAACCTTCAGCCTCAAACCCTATCCCCAGTGGTCCACAGTAAATCCCAAACCCAAACAACAAGGCCTAGCAAAAGCAGCCAAACTACACGAGTAGCATACTGGACTTTTTAGGGTATAGGAGAACCTAAACCTAGGTTCTCCAGTAACCCATGAATAATAAGGGTACCCTTTTTCCTACTGTTCAGCTTTAATGAGGAGACCCCAAAATAAAAGGGCAAAAGGGTACTACTGGGGTACCTAGACACATCCTCTGGGTCCGCATCA